TATCGCTGAACTCCGGCGTGGTTATTTTAGCTAATTTGTATCAGCTGGGTAGCTGCAGGGTCATTCGTTATGGTAAAGTGTGGATTTCCTGACGTTTTCAATGCCAAACGGGAAGTTATTTTTGAAAAGGAAATGGCAAATTGCTCCGGAGTATCGTAAGCAAATTATCTCAAAACGTTAAACCAAATGAAGCACCAGCGGCGTGTGGCAACCGTTTTTATACACCTTTTGAAAGAAAAATCACGTTAGCCACTGTCTAAAAGTAAAAAGAGCAAGTATTCTATAATTTCATAAAATAGATCCATAAAAATGTTCATATTTAACTACTTCTATGGTATGTGTATGCAGTTTTAAATAAAATTCGTCCCTCTTTCGAAAACTAATAATCATTCAAATTTTGCTTAATTCACATTTACACTAAAACAGGGATGCACATACCGCGGCCCGCTGTCGATGTTTATGCAGCCCGCCAACGAATTTTAAAAGTATTCTACTCGCCGCGCTCCGGTCCAAGCATATTATTACGAGACTAGAAATCTGTCGCATCAACTAGATTACAGATTCGCGAAACACGTCGATCCCCGAACAAAGTGGATGGTTCTCGATGTTTGGTAACTCGTATAAATACGACGCATCGCCGGCTACCGGGGCAGTTAAGTTTTGACTACGGATAAGCGAACGTTATACTGTTTGAGAACTGTAATCTGTGACGAGTAAATATTTCGTCGTTCGAACTTGGCTTTTACCGACTGTAACATATAATATTAATTTTGATATGGATAAACCAGGCCCCAGTAAGAAACGTAGTCGTAAGGTTGAAGATGAAAATCGACAGTTTCATGATATTTGGACCGAAAAATACTTTTTTATTTCATCGCATAACAAAATTGTCTGTTTAATATGCAAGAGTAGTGTTTCTATTCCGAAGGAATATAATGTGAAAAGGCACTATGAAACCCAGCATCCAACTTTTACCAAATTAACTGGCGAAAATCGAACGCAAAGAATTTCCACTTTACAACGGGAACTAATAGGCCAGCAATCTATGTTTACAAAACCAATTCAAGATGCTGAAACAGCCACTGAAGTTAGCTTTGAAATATCTCGAATAATAGCGAAAACTTGTCGGCCTTTTAAAGATGGTGAGTTTGTTAAGCAATGTTTGGATATCGCCGCAAAAAAAATTTGTCCGGAAAATGTAAAGAAGTTTGAAAAAATTCAGTTAAATCGGATGACTGTTCAAAGAAGAATTACCGCATTAGCAGATAATATAGAAGAGCAATTAGCTACGAAATCGAGAAGTTTTGAGTATTTTTCTATAGCGCTCGACGAATCTACAGATATAAGTTCAACTGCTCAACTATTAATATTTTTACGAGGTGTAACGCAAAATTTTGAAGTGAGTGAAGAACTGATTGGTATGAGTTCTTTGACAAGTCAAACCAGGGGAAGTGACATGCTCAAAGCTCTTCTAGAAAAATGTTCTATAATGGATTTGGATTTAACGAAAATATCTGGAATTACAACTGACGGAGCACCTTCAATGGTTGGAAGTACATCTGGGATAGTAACTCTGTTAAAAACATATTTACAAACTAAAAACATAAATACCAAGGAATTAATGCAGTTTCATTGTATTATACATCAAGAGGCCCTCTGTTCAAAATTATTGGGATTTGAAAATGTTATGAAAGTTGTAGTACCTACCGTAAACTTTATAAAATCACGAGGTCTCAATCACCGACAATTCAAACAATTTCTCGAGGATATTGAAAGCGAATATGGTGATCTCCTGTTTTACACTGAAGTAAGGTGGCTAAGTCGTGGGTTGACACTACAGCGATTTCTTAACTTGATTGAAGAAATCCAACTATTTCTGGCGGAAAAGAAAAACGACGTCCCCGAACTCGACAACCCTGATTGGCTGTGTGACTTAGCGTTTCTTGTAGACATCACAAATCACTTGAATGTCTTAAATACGCGACTCCAAGGCAAAGATCAATTGATTTCGCAGCTATACTCTCATGTTTCGTCCTTTCAATGCAAATTGAGTCTTTTCAGGACACAAATCAATTCAGCCAATTACGGCCATTTTCCGAACTACAAAAAAATTATGGAGAAGTTCAATAAAACTGACGTCAATTTCGCTCATGTTGAAAAAATTGATATTTTGATACAAGCTTTTGAAAATCGTTTTGTAGACTTCAAAAAAGTTAAACCGCTATTGGACATTTTCAGCAATCCTTTCAACATTTCACCCGAAAATGCGCCGGAATTAATGCAGCTGGAATTAATAGACATGCAAAATGATGATAATTTAAGAAACAAATTTAATGAAGGTAATTTACTCAACTTCTACCGTTGCGTTGATAAAAACGCTTATAAAGAGTTGCGAATAAATGCATTGAAATGCGCAAGCTTATTTGGATCGACGTATATTTGTGAACAAACGTTTTCAGTGATGAAACTTAACAAAACGAAAAACCGAAACCGTCTGGCAAATGAAAATTTGGAAGCAATTATACGTGTGGCTACAAGTAATGTGGAGCCAAATATAAAAAAACTTGTTAGTTCAATGCAATGTCATGCATCAAAATAATAAAACATGAAATATTACATTGTAATGATTACATAATTATTACAACAAACATTTTTGAAGGTTATTTTATTTTTATCATTGTATTTCATACTATTTAAAAATAAAAAATTTTGTGTTAATAAATATTGTTTGTAGTGGCCCGTCATTGGCTTATATTTTTCCCGAGTGGCCCCTGTTCCCTATAAGTCTGTGCATCCCTGCACTAAAAGTTTAAGTTTAAAGTCATGCTGGCAATTTATTACCAGTACTCATCGTTAGATTTGCAACTATTTTTAGAAAATAGAAAGTTTTAAATAAACCAATTTATCACCACTGTATGTAACTTACTCCGCAAAAGCGTGTGGCTGGGTGTTAAATCAATTTGGCCAATACATCACATGTTTACAGAGTAGCACAGCGAACCCAAATCACTAGTATTTTTTAAATATAGTACAAATTACAGATTCAAGCATCATTAATTAGAATTTCAACTGTTTTAAAAATAGTAAGTCCTAAATAAACTCATTTTCCGTCTCCTGTCACTGTATGTAGCTTATTCCGCAAAAATATAGTGTCATTCAGTATGCTATCAGTGTTATTGATTTATTTGGCTAATAAATCACATATCTAGAGCAAACCCAAATCATTAACAACGTAATTAATTTTAAGAATGTTAAACAACTGATTGATTTATAATGTCGCACAATCGGCACACTCAAATTAAAATTTCAACTATATTTCGAAAATAAAAAAAACTTAAAGCACAAGTTTCCATGCGTCAAGCTGCAAAGGAATCTAAAGTAGAGCCCGTTTGTGTATTAGATTTTGTTATTTTCCTAACTGCCAGCTACCGAAAAAAAAGAGGACGTTAATAGGGCCTCAAAAATGGTTGGCAGGCCCCGACATATGTCATCTCGCGCTTATCAAAGGATCTCGACAAAACGTAAATCTGGAACAATTCGTCGCCGACCGTAAGGTCTTAAATACCGGATTTAAAGGGACCGGAGCTCTCCGTGACAGGCCTTAAAGGGGATAGACCCGTAATCCAAGCAGGCGGCGATACGCCGCGCCATGGGAGAACCGGCTTAATAAATTAAAAAGTAAATCATTGCTCCAACAATAGAACAATGAACAGCTGACACGTATTACATTTATTGCTAGAGAAAAGGACTGACGCAAACCGGGCATTATTTGATCGTACACAATAACAGGCTTTAATATCGAGAAATCTAGAGTTCGAGACGGCCTATTTTCCTGCCATCAAGTAATGTTCTGGGAATGGATCCATTACGATAATACTCAACTCGGTATTCATAGCGTCGCGCTGATGGTCTACTTGCAAAAAATAACGTAGGGAAGGAACATTATAATGTAAACTAAGTCACATTCGGATTGCCTTAAAGGTATATATAGTGGGTTTTCCATGTTGCTGGAAGAAAACCATAAAAAAACTATAGGATTTTTACTTAGGAACTTAGATACATAAAATTTGTTGTTCAATTAATATTTAAGTTTTTAATAATCATTTAATAACGGGACAAATCTTTTTTCAAACTGAAGTAAGGTTATGTTTATATAGTTATACAATGCATAATATACATTTAGATAATTAAGTTACTTCAAAAACCAGCAAAGAAACTGGAAGTAAAAAATGTTCTTCTTTTATTAAAGTTTAGAAAATATTATGTATCGGCTAAATTTGCAACAATTTTATGGATCATATTTACGTATCAAACAAAATCTTTGTTTGTATTTGTTAAGAAATTTACAAAAAATTCTTCAAACTATTTACAAAACATTGCCACCTATCTTCCCCTGCCGCTCCATGTTGGACTCACCCGAAGACACAACTTTTTAGCGTAGTTTTAAATCAACAAATAACTAACCACTCAACAGAAACTAACCGATACTATTTATACACTCCCAAGCTTATTAATTCCCGTTACAAATGCACTAGTTTATATAGATTATTACGATAGTAAATCACAACAATTTTGAGAGAAAAAACGAAATTTTCCAAGCGCGTGCCGTGCTACAACAAACAACACAGCGGACGATGCTAGTGCCCTCGCGCGACGGGCAGTGTTGCTAATTGGCGGATAAAAGTCCGATTTTCGGACTTTTTTTTATACGGCGGATCTTTTTCGGATCCTAATATATTTCGGATCTTTTCGGATATTTCGGTGATTTCATTTCAACAAAAAGAAAACAAACCGAAACCAACCAAACCAATGCACAACCGGCCCAACCAAATAAAAAAAGAAATGGTGACGTGAGTTGGCGTCCACAGTTTGATTCAATAGACCGTGGTTGGCGGGTACGAATTTCATTGTGTTAGCTACACTGTTTACACCACAGACCATCGTTCGTTAATGACCGTTTTGTACTTCTGTGGTTCAGTGCTGGTGTCAACCTCATCGTCCTTTATTTTTAATTTTAATTATTATTAGATAGTAGAATAATGGTGATATATTGTGTTGTCCTCTACCTAATCTATGGTGTTGTCTGTTATGATTTAAAAATGGATTTGTGGCTTGCGACTTCCAAGGTAATACAATACAATAATAATAAAACAGCCCGATTGTACGGCGTTAACGATATGTTGGCGCGAAATATAAAGAGAATACAATGTTTATTATATTCACAAATCAATACAAAACCCATCACATTTTTAATGTTAATTTTATTTATAGTCTAAACTGCCTTTGATGCAACCAGCTGATGAACAACCTGGCTGCAGTAAAAACTTGGAAAATGGAAATCTTATCCCTGATATCATTGTAAGTGTCATCAAATTCAAATATGTATATTGGAAAATCGTGTCAGTCAATAAATTCAAAATGTATTATACGATTTTTGTATCTGCTTTAGGTTAGAGTCTCTACAGATAAAATACTTAAGGCTCATGGTCAGCCATCGAAATATAAGAAGAAAAAGTTAACGAAATTTGTCTCTTCATGGTTAAATATGCCCAAATTTAGTGGTTGGCTGGCAAAATCAGAAAAAAGAGATGATGCAAATAATGAATATGTTTTTTGCAAAGTATGCAATAGTGAAATTATTGCACACAAAAGTATTTTGCTAAAACATCAAGCAACGGAAAAACATAAGACTAACTGGCAAAAAGTGTCTACCAGCACAAAAATAACAGATTATGGCATAGAAAACAAACACGATGAAAAGGCTGTGAAGAATGCGGAATTAAAATTATGTGCTCTGTTAGCTAGTTATAACCTACCATTTTTATTGATGGATACACTGCCTTCTCTCTTGAAAAAAATTTTTCCCGATTCGAAAATAGCTCAAAAGTTAAATATTAAAAGATTCAAATCTACCAATATTATGTGTGAAAGTCTGGGTAAATCTTTTTTAGATAATTTGTATGATGCATTAAGGAAGCCAGGTGTTTTTTTCTCAATTATATTAGACGAAACAACTGATATATCTATTAAAAAACAGTGTGCGTTCTCTGTAATATACTTTGACACAGATCGGAATGTAATTAAGAATTCCTTTTTTGATCTATTTGAAACCAAAGGCTCTACAGCAGTTGAATTATATGATGCATTAAGAAATAATTTAATTTCTAAAGCTATTCCCTTGACCAATTTAGTAGGGTTTTCTTCTGATACCACGAATGTTATGGTGGGGGAACATAGCTCACTCTTTTCAAATTTAAAAAAAGATTTTCCCCATATAGTCTGTGTAAAGTGCTCTTGCCACATGGCACATTTAGCAGCATCAAAAGCATGCCTAAAGCTTCCTAAACATGTAGAAGATTTACTCCGAAATATTGGGAGCCATTTTAACAGAAGCTCTTTACGCAGGAAAAAATTTGAAGAATTTCAAATATTTTTCCATGTTAAAATTCATAAAATTTTATCCCCCTCCATAACAAGGTGGCTTTCAATAAAATCATGTGTGGATAGGGTGCTTGAACAATATCAACCACTAATTGCATATTTTAGAGAATCACTATTTGAAGATCCATCATACATTACAGAGAGTATGTTAGAAGCTTTGAGTAACTCATTTACTATAATTTACTTAGAATTTATGTCATATGTTTTAGGGCTCATGACAGATTTTAATTTACTCTTTCAATCAGAAAAATCCTTACTTTATAAAGTAAAACCGGAAACAGAAAACTTGTTAAGAAATTTGTGTGCAAATTTTATTGATATTTCAGTAATAAGAAAAACCTCTGATATTTTTAAATTAAGCCATATTAATCCCACCAACTTTTTACCACTGGAAAAAATTTATTTAGGAATTTTAGCATCAGAAAGCTTAAAAGAATTAAAAAAAAATCCCCATATTCCACAAGAAGATTTTGAGACATTTTTTAGAAGTATTTTAGCCTTCTATGTAGAATTAGTATCAAATATTAAAGAAAGGTTTCAATTCAGTGATCCCATTTATGAAATTTTAAAGGTAGTAGATCCTAATGAAGCACAATCGTTTAATATTAAATCGGTAAACAACGTTTTAGAAAGATTCCCTATTTTAAAAGATTATGTGGATTCTCAGGAATTGGACAATGAGTGGCGAAGACATGCTCTTTTAAATTTAGACGATTTGCAAATGTCAATGAATGAACCGGATATATATTGGGGTAAAATATTTAATTTAAAAAATGCTGCTAACGCACCGCTTTTTCCAAATTTAAAAAAGATGTTTTCGCTACTCCTTGTGCTTCCTTTTTCGAATGCTAAAGTTGAGCGTATTTTTAGCGACGTTTTCAATATAAAAACGGATAAAAGAAATCTTTTAAATACAGATACAGTACGAGCTATTTTGGCAACAAAAGAAGGTATTGAGGGTTGTGGGGGATGTGTCAATTTCACACCATCAGAAAAAATGCTACAAAGTAAAATCTGGAAAAAAAAGGATTCAGTGGGTAGTTAAATTATTACTAATGTGTACTGTGTCTTCATGTATTCATTTAGTAATCCTCCAATTTTTTATTGAGATTTGTAGATTTTTTATTTTGTCTTTCTCGTTTGTTTTGTAAACAAAGTTCCTAATTCTTTAGTTCCTTATGTAAACCATAAAAATGTTACTTTGGGATAAAAATGTTGAGTTGTTTTCTATTTATATAGCTTTAATATTTCTGAATTCGCAGAATTATTATTGAAAATATGTATTTTATATTTTCAGTTATTTTTTGTTAAGGTAGTTTAAAAAATATGTTAATCATATTATTATTGCCAAAGACATTACAAAGTATTTTTGTTTTCTATAATAATAAACTTTTTGTTAGTATGAGTTAGTCTTATTAAATACCTTTAATGCTACATGCCAATATATAGAAATATGCAGCATGTGCTTTTTCTATTCAGTCTGTAAACCTCTATAAATGTGTAAAAGTTTATGTTATATGTTTTTATTTTATAATATTTAACGTATATGGAAGCAATTTTTGAGGAAAATTTTGTGAGTGAACTTTTACATGTAATTCGAAGATGTCAACACTGAGATTGCATGCAGAAAAACAATGCACATTTTTATGTGTTGAGATTTAGCAGACTAGTTGCCATATTACTGTTCATATTTAAATTTACCGCCTAATTTAAGTTGGTAATGTAGTTGTCAAACAAAATGGTTTAATTATAGTTATTTATTAGTCTATTTTTGTAAAAATACAATGCTTTATTTAATTTCATATCAGTGGGCGGATAATGTTGGATAAAATCGGACTTTTTTCTGAACGTAGCGGATATTTGGCATTGACGCGTCCAACAACACTGGCGACGGGTTTAGTTGTTCTAAAAAGCGCTTTTCTGATTTGTTGAAAACTTGCATAGCACTCTACACTAGAGGATATCTATTTTGATCTTAAAAATTAATAAACGTTTGTTCGAGCACCAAACATTTTGAAGTTTAATATATTTATTTTAAGGTTTTAAGTAATTAAAAACTGAGGATAGGTATGATCCTCAGCTAACTTGTTGACTATTGTTGTATTTATAAGGGGTGTCCAGTAACCGGTTGTAGATGCAAGGAGTGTCCAAATTCTTATTTTAATTCAACAGGGAACGTTCTATCCAAATATGTAAAAATATACAGGGTGTTCCATTTAACTTGACAAAGTTAACATCCGCGGCCATTTTGTTTGGACTTCATTTGTTTTTCTCTATCATTTTCGAAAAATTCATAAAAAATCGTGCAATTTTTATATTTCACATTTTTTTATAACTCTTGAAACAAAAAAGTTAAAGGGGGGAGTCAAAATATAGTGAATAGTATTGGCCTAAAATCCAGAGTAACTAACAAACCTGAAATACAAAAATTCAACTTCCAAAACGCACATCTAACAATAGTGACGACCAAATCCGAGCACGTCCATTTTACCCACTCCTTAGTTATAAATTAAACCTCGCTTTATCTCGAGAGGCATTTAGAATCCATTTCGGTGAAACATCTGTTCGGACTGATCTAGCTCAGATACGTATTATTATGATTAATAGGTACATGTAGAAGAAAGTGTTTTTGAATGATTAAAAGAAACGATACATCAGGGAATTAGATGAATTAACCTGATTTGAACAGCACCGAGGAGTGTACACGAGATAAAGCTTGTTACGAATTCTGACGAAATTGTTTAAAATCGCTTACCAATTAAAATAAATTACATGGAGCAATTTTTTTTTAAATTATCTGTATTATCGGAGAAGATAAAAACAACTAATAGTTTACGGACTTCTTTGTAAAAAAATTGCTTTTACAGTATACCTAGTAAATTCAATAAACATTTATGTTGGATATTGATACCTCTCGACCGATAAATATGTGAATAAACGAACACAAAGGTTACATAAAGAAGTGGGGATCTGAGAACGAAAAAAATTGGGAACACGCTTCAGAAAACGATCGTATAATAGCGTCGGGATAACATTTTAGAGAAGTAAAGTAATAACATTAAAATAAAATTAAAAGAAGACCCAAATATTTTATTATAATTATCTACCAACGTGGGTCCTTGTCTGTGGGTGTGATTTGTAGCTATAGACTTGTCAACTAGTGGTCATTAAGCAAGTGTTCTAATTTAAGTGGCATCCTTACAAAATTAACGTCTTACAAGAATTATGGGCAGATGACACAGACAGAACATTACAGTTTTGCGAGAAAATTAGAAATTTATTTCAAAAGACAATCCAACTTAGAAAATCACATAATTTTCACTGACCAAGCAACTTTTTGCTTCAACGGAACCGTGAACAGGCAAAATACTATGTTATGGAGCCCAGAAAATCCGATTGGATGTAAAAAATAGACAACGGCCGGAAATAGTGAATGTTTGGGCTGGAATTAGTAGGAAATCGCATACTGGGACCTTATTTCTTTGAGGGCAAATTAACACGCGACATTTGTTTGGATTTTTGCGTTTTCACCTGATTCCAGCCCTGGAATTAATTTTTCCTAACCCTAATGAGCACGATATGCCTGCTGGTGATGTCCGGTTCCAACATGATGGCGCCCCTCCACATTTTCGTCTCGATATAACAACTTACTTTAATGAAGTTTCCCCAAATCGATGGATAGGCAGAAGAGGGCCGCTTGAATGGCCACCACGCTCCCCTGACTTAATCCCAATAGATTTTTTTGGTTGGGTTATATAAAAAGCAAAGTGTATGTGAACAGACCAGACACTATCGAATGATTGATCGTATCAGAGAAGAAGTTCGAAACATAACACCAAATGTTATTCAAAATGTAATTGAAACTTTGAACACCGAATTGGGCATTGTGCAATGGTCAATGGGTGCCACTTAGAACATTATTTGCTGTATCTATGAATTGTTGGTTTTTGATTTTTATTTGTTTTCCCCTATAGTCTGTTTAGAAATAAAAGAGGGTAATAAAAGCTTATTATGTACGCAAATCGTAAATAAATGTAGTACTGATGCTTATATTCAATATTTTTATATTATGTATTATCCGTATAGATGAGGTGTACTTTTAAAAAAACTTTGTGTGACCGGGTTGTACTAAATTGTAGCAGGTAGCTAAAATTTAATCCCCGACAATCCGTCTTTGTCTATGCCGCTTCAATTTCTCGGTCCATTTCTCTTATAAGTAAACAATATAAAAACAGCATTTCAAAACATGAGGCTACTTTAAGCATCATAACCGGGTTAAGAGGGTTTTTAGTAATTCAAATAAAATTATTCAATATTATTATCAAAATATTTATTTAAATTTAATGAATAGACTTTTATTCCACACAAAAATATATGTATTTTGAAAATTCAAATTATGGTGAGTAAATGTAGTGTTGTATAAATGTACAATAAAGAAAATAAAAAAGTAGGTATATTAAAATTCATCCTCTGAATATTCTGATGAATTATCTTCGTCTCCTAGATTGATAACGATAGGTTCCACAGTAACGTCAATTAAATTATCGAGTTCCCACATTTTCTCCTCTTCTTTTTGTACATGATGTATACATCTTTGCCAGTTATCTGCAGTTACTCGTTCCAAGGAATTTTTTAACAAAATTTTCACGTCACTTAATTTAAACGTCGTATTATTTCGCGCTACATCTCCTTTTACCTGCGCCCAGACTAATTCGATTGGGTTAAGTTCACAGTGATAAGGTGGTAACCGTAGTACCGTTATTTGGCGATTTGTTGCCATTTCATCGATAACATATTTTTTCTGATCTTTATTAAGATTGACAAGTGTCAAAAGTTCCTTTTTCACCATATTTGTTTCAAAAGAAATGTTTTTTCCGGATAACCATTGAATTATATCGGCTTTCCTCCAAGCAGTCGTAGGCGTCCGCTCGGTCTGCCGTGAATGGTAACTGGCATTATCCATGACAATTACAGACCCCGGAGGAATAAGATCCAACATCTGTGTAAAATACTCTTCGAAAACATCTGCGTTCATGTCTTCGTGATAGTCACCTGTATTTTTAGATTCAAATAAAAGTAAACCGCCATCTACAAAACCACTGGCACTACCTATATGTGTCACTATTAATCTTCGCCCTTTACCTGAAGGTGCCTTGAACCCTGTTGAAAGTCCATCCAAAAATGCTTGTCGAAAACTTTTTACATTTTTATCTTGCCATACTTTTGTTACAGTATATCCCTCGTTGACCCAAGTTTCGTCTAGATAATAAATATTCCTCCCTTCGTCACGGAATTTTCTAATTGATCTTAAGTAGGATCTTCGCCAACAAATAATTTCATCTTTATCGATAAGAACTGACTTCCTGTTCTGCTTTTCCCAGCAAAAATTCAACTCTCGTAAGACGGCCCATAATTTGCTTCTACTGATTTTTGGCAAATCGTTGTCCTCTGAAAGTTCACTTAAAATTTTGTTTAGCGTTGGTATTTCTTTTTTAAAATAAAATGAGTGTACTTTTCTGCGAATGACATTTTTGAAGAAATTATCTATAACGACTTTTGACCTCCCTGTAGATGATTTTGGGGGATTTACAGTATCTTGTTCATTTTTTGTTTCCTTTAAAGTCTGTAGATAGTCAATTTTCCAATCCCTGTCATTTTTGTTAGCATCAGTGTTACCCGATAATTACCTGAAACGAAATATTACCACGCCCATGGCCGGTTCTTATCTCGGGGTTTTATTACTCTCGTTCATTTCCAAACATACTATAGATATTTTCTTTGTTTATTTAATTTTACGTTCTGTTTTCAGATGAAATGTATTTCTTTTCATTTTCGATTTATTTTTTCCATATTTACATTTGTTGCAGATTAATCTGTTTGCCGGTTGATGTGAATAATGACATAACAAGTTTTTCCATTTTTCTTATTGGATTTTATAATTAATGGACACAAATATTAAAAGAGCATCTATAGAAGCAAATAAACAAATAGAATTTAAACTTTCAAATATATTAGAAAAAAATGCCACTTCTAGTTTCATGAACGATTGTTTTTCGAAACCTTAACTAACTGAAGTTCGTGATTTTAGTGAGATTTTTATGTGAGAATTGAAGGATTTATTTAATTAATATTATATCTTTTCAATATTGGCAGAATTTCTAGATAAATAAACAGAGAAAAACTAAAACTATACTTACCAAGAATAAATAAATTTAGGACAATATACGGACCAGAATCTTCAAAAATCGAAATTTTAA